GTACAGGAGGAAGTATCTGTGGGGGATGGAGTGGTATTAGGAGTAGATGAGATCAGCTGACAGAGTGGAAGTATCTGTGAGGGGATGTGAGAAGGTATTAGAGAGAGAGAATGCGAGCAGCTGTTAGGTGAGGGTGTGGTAGGCTTCCCTGAAGAGATGGGTTTTCAGGGTGCGCCTGAAGGTGAGGAGGGTAGGTGACAGTCTGATGGATTGGGGTAGAGAGTTCCAGAGGAAGGGGGAAGTCCTGGAGAAGTCCTGCAGTCAGGCGTGGGAGGAGGAGACCAGGGAGCTAGAGAGTAGGAGGTCTTGTGCGGAGCGAAGATTACGGGTTGGGTGGTATTTGGGTATCAGGTCGGTGAGGTAGTTTGGGGCAGCGTTATGAATGGCTTTGTATGTCAGTGTTAGTAGTTTGAATTTAATGCATTGGGCAATCGGGAGCCAGTGGAGGGAATGACAGAGGGGGGTGGCAGAAGCGGAGCGGTTGGTAAGGTGGATGAGTCTGGCCGCTGAGTTCAGGATAGACTGAAGCGGGGATAGTCTGCGATGAGGTAGGCCGGTGAGGAGGGAGTTGCAGTAGTCCAGACGTGAGATAATAAGGGAGTGAACGAGTTGTTTAGTAAATGTTAAGTAATTCTTTCCTATGATCATCACCCCCACCTAGTGGCCACAGTGCAATAGTTTCTTATTCACTCTATCCTGTACAAAGAATAACAATCGACCTGGAGAAAACCTGGCCTGTTTGCACCGATTCTCACAGAACCAATGCAAATGCAGTTTCAACAGGACAAACAGCCCTGAAAATGTATACACCCAAGTGTTAGACAGACCTCCTATTCTTCCATCCTTATCCCAGAAATCATACACAGCTACATAATTAGAAAGCAAAGATCATACCGATCTGAAGTACACTTCAAAGCCATCAGATCTGAGGCGGTAAGAACTAAAGACAGCGAGCAATTAAAACCTGCAACGTGCGTCGGTTAATGCGTCTTACAAAGGTAAAACATGCCAGTGTACTCCGGCTGGGCTGAAACGCTCACAGAGCAAAGGAAGACTGGGTCACTGGGGGAATGTCGAGTATCAACATTTATATCTTTCACAATGTTTTTTTCTAATCAAAGTTGTCTTGCAAATATGATTTTATCTTGGTATTGTGGATTTACGATCAAATAAAAATAATTTAAAATACAAATAGCTCAGCTCAAGCAAAACAAGAAAAAAAACAGGTTTTGCTGTATTACTTTCAATTCAGAGCAGTTTCTTGCAATATTTCCTTTCTGCCACTAGATGTCATAAGTCTTCGAGGTTGAATGACATCCAGGCTTATTTAACCAACTTCTGCTGAGCCCAGGCTGTCAAGGACACACCCACTGAGGGTGTGTCATCATCTCAGCTGTCTGGGCTCAGAATACTGTCGCATTATACATAAAGAAATGTATTTGCAAAAATAAAAATCACAGAGCTATTCATCCTGTGAAAAAGCATGTACATTCACTCCCTGTGAAATGGGGGAGCATTGAATGTTATTAACTCATCTCTTCACTGTGATTGACTGCTTGTTCGGGGAGTTTCTGCTATCAATACCCCTATAAACAGGGCTGCTGTTAGAAACCACGGGACCCCAACTACAGCCAACCTGACGGGCCCCCCTTAAAAAAACAAACAAAAAAGAAAACACAGTTTACTATGCTTCTGTTATGAATGAATACAATGAGTGATCAGTGCCGATCACTCAATTGTGTTCATTCAGGAAAGGAAGCGGCTAGTTAATGTGACATATTTATCAGACCCTTTCCCCACTCTCCATCCTGGAGTATCCTATTGTGTGCTTGCAGCTGACAGCGGGAAGAAGAGGAGGGAAGCCGGCATTGTGGGGGCCCAGGCTGCTGGGTGAATCAGATGTACACAGGGAGGGTGGTCTGCATGGTGGGTGGGGGGGGGGAAATTACTAGAACCTATCCCCTGCATGGCTCTCTCTACAGTAGCTGAAAACCAGCAGGAGGGAGAGGAGAAGAATCCAGCTTTCAGATGCTGCAGAGAGAGCTATACAGGGCATCAGTTTCAGTAATTGCCACCCAATCATACCGATCACCCTCCCTGCCCACATCTGATTCACCCAGCTGCCTGGGCCCCCCTGTTGGCCTGGGCCCCGTACAGGAGGACTGGTTGTACCCCCTAATCCACAGCCCTGCCTAGAAATGAAGAGGTGATGTCTGATGAGACTTTGCTAATGAATGAACTATTGGATTTTCTCAGACATCAATCACCCCTGAGTGCCCCCCCCCCCTCCCCCAGAGGTTAATTAGATAATTTATAGAAAGGGTTTTTTTTTTTATCACATAAAAGAATTCTGTAGCTTTAGAGAAGGGTCGTGATAGGCAGGGATTTTAAACATAGCTATAGCTGTGAAGCTGCCCAATCACTTACATAGCCCTCAAAAGGTACCATACCCTTGCTTGACTGCCCTGCCATGTGTTCCAGACTCCGCTGTCCCAGCTGCACGATGGGTGATAGAATGGAAGGAAACCAGAGAACGTCTGTTCCCTGATCTCCTCTTTGATGAATGAACTTGGATATGGCGTCTATTACTTCCCTTGAAGATTTAATTGCACTTCCCCAGGCTGCTCTGGCCAGTGAAGAAGATTTAATTGCACATTCCCAGGCTGCTCTGGCCAGTGAAGAAGATTTAATTGCACATTCCCAGGCTGCTCTGGCCAGTGAAGAAGATTTAATTGCACATTCCCAGGCTGCTCTGGCCAGTGAAGAAGAATCTAATAGAGTGCTATTAGTGCTTCATTAGCTTCAGTGGAAGGCAGGTGAGTCTAAGTAGGGGTGGGGCTTAACATACCCAATCAGGGGCCCGCTAGTAGCTCTCACTAATGCCCACAAGTGGAGGCTGTTTCACTTCCTGCAACTTCTCTCAATGGATGCAGCAATTCCAAGTGGGTATTGCAGATTGTGACGGACCGCCTGTCACCCAGATTGGGTGATTCCATCAGAGAACTGCTTCCTCGCCACTGGGACACAGGACCAAGGAAATGACGGACCACCTGACATTTGGTGGCAAGCAGTGGGATTTGCATCCTCCCTACGGAGAAGTTTTAAAACCACCATCATGACCCTCTTCACCTACAGCAGATGGAACACCGCTACACCAGTCTCAAGCATGGCACCTTGAAGGATCTATTGATATCCCGTAGAAAAATCACCAGCAATAGATCCAAAGCGATGCTCATGGAGGATGACTGGGCCAGCAACCCAGATGCCTACGGATGACAACTCTGAGGTATCTGATGGTGGATTGTTGGCCCAGTCACCCTGTCACCCAGAGCCTGTACCACACTCCATTGGCACATAAAGATCATCTCTTCACACATTCCCAAGCTTCTCCATTCATAAGGCCTCTAATTCACTTGGCTCTTCCGTGGTATCTCAGGCTTGGTAGCTAGGATACCCTGTGCCAGCGATATCAGTCCCTTTATGTGGAGCACCAGTTGCTAGGAAGGGGCCAGCTTGCAAACCTCCTCACTACCAGGGCCCTCCATCACCCATGCCATGTCACCACAACTCCCACTGGCTGGCTTCTTAAGCACCAGACATTACTCTGGTTACCCCAAGGAATTACAACATATCCTCTTCTCCTTCCAGTGCAGGTTAGACCTTTGTAATGTGTTTGCACTAATTTCTCTTCATCTCCCTTCTAAGTCCTGTTCTTTGATACGCCATGAATGCACCCCTTTAGTGACTTCAGACCAGGCAGATTGGCTTGCCAATAAAGTTCTTTAATGAAGGAGTTAATTTACCAGATTACAGTTCTCAGCAACATCTTCACATCACAATCCTTTAGTTTTGATCTTCTATGCCCCATGAGGTGGTCATACCTTAAAGAGATGGAAAAATCGACAATTGCATCCTCAGCAGCACTCTCCTTCTCTTCACATACAGAGGCCCTGACCTAGAAAGAGTTTATCTTTTATAACTTTTGACCAGCAGAAGGTGGTGCTCCTCAGAAAAGCCCGGGAAAAATCTGATCAGCAGGGTTAACCCTTAACAACCAGACAGCAACAATCCTGATAGGCAACATTACGCAACTTACCCAGAATAAAATACTTAACCAAGGAAATAATTCAATAAAAACACAACCAACATATTAATACCTCAAGAAGGACCTGCTTACAAATAGGTCTAGGATGTCTCAGCAAAGGGAACCTGTCACTGCAAAATGCTATCACATAGGGGACTACTGCTCCCTGATGTGATAGCAATAAAGTTAATTGTAAATAAAAAAAATAACGTGGCATGCACAAATGTAAGGCTTAATATGTTTGGTATCCAGGGGCGGACTGACCATTTGGAAACTTGGGCACTGCCCGAGGGCCCGGGGTCAGTAGGGGGCCCCATGAGATGCCCCTGGTACCTTTTTCATAGGCTTTTTTGTTTGGGCAAGGACACAGGGGCCCCATGATCCCCTATTGCCTGCGGGCCCCATGAGTTGTCAGTCCGCCTCTGTTGGTATCTATTCATTTGTCACAGCCTCATCTTTTATGTTTTTTAAAAAAATGTGGGTGATATATTGGGGTTGAGTTACTAAAACTGGAGAGTGTAAAATCTGGTGCAGCTGTGCATGGTAGCCAATCAGCTTCTAACTTTAGCTTGTTCATTTAAGTTTTGACAATAAAACCTGGAAGCTGATTTGGAATGACTGACATTTTATTATCCAGGGTCTCTGCTTTCAGAAAATTTATAGGGGGGGTTAACAAATCTTCAGGCCTAAATTTTTAACCACCTTCCGCCCGCCATATAGTACAATGACGGGAGCAAGGTGGTTCTTTCGTTCTGATAGGACGTCATATGACGTCCTTCCATTCTCACCACGCATGCGCGGCTCAGGGAGTACGCAGCGCAGCGATAGGCGGTGCGCTGTGTCCCTTGGACACAGCGGATCACGGAAAGAGCTGAAGATGTCAGCTTGGTCATGTGATCAGCTGTGTCCAATCACAGCTGATCACATGTAAACACGGAAATGCCGGTTATCGGCATTTCTTTCGTCTCGAGCTGTCACGCTGACAGCTCATGAGGAGAGGAGAGCTGGTAATCGGCTTTCCGCGGAGGGGAAATGTACACTGATCATCAGGTCACTGATGATCAGTGTGCCCTGATATTCAGTGTGGCCCCAAAAGTGCCACCTGTCAGTGTCCATCAGTGCCAGTGCCCATCAGTGTCAGCAGTCAGTGCTCATCAGTGCCATGTGCCAGTGCCCATCAGTGCCACATCAATGCCACATATCAGTGCATACCAGTGCACATCAATGCCACATATCAGTGCCCATCTGAGCTGCCTTTCAATGTCACCTATCAGTGCCAGTCAGTGCCACCTATCAATGCCAATCATTGCCACCTATCAGTGCCAGTCAGTGCCGCCTATCAGTGCCCATCAGTGCTGCTTATCAGTGCCAGTCAGTGCCTCCTATCAGTGCCATATATCAGTGCCATGTATCAGTGCTGCCTTTCAGTGCCCCTCAGTGATGCCTGTCAATGCCCATCAGTGCAACCTACCAGTGCCTCCTCATCAGTGCCCATCAGTGCCACCTATCAGTGTCCATCAGTGCAGCCTATCAGTGCCCATCACTGCAGCCTCATTAGCGCACATCAGTGAAGGAGAAAAATCACTTATTTACAAAATTGTATAACAAAAACTAAGAAAAAACTTTTTTTTTCAAAATTTTCTGTGGTTTTTGGTTTGTTTAAGAAAAAATAAAAATTGCTGAGGTGATTAAATACCACCAAAAGAAAGCTCTATCTGTCTCAAAAAAATGATAAACGTTTCATATAGGTACAATGTTGCATGACCGCGCAATTGTCATTCAAAGTGTGACAGCGCTGAAAGCTGGAAATTGGCCTGGGCAGGAAGGGGGTATAAGTGCCCTGTAGGCGAGGGGTTAAAATGTGTGCAAAAACATTCTGTACAAAAATGGCTCTGGCAGTGAAAGGGTAAAAAATGTGTCTACAGTTTGGTTAATTGGTCAAGTTTTAGGCATCGATTGCGGTTTAGTTATTAGTTACTGGTCAGTAATAGTAAACTCTGAATGAATTTCAATGACATGGACATGTTAAAGCTTCTATGAGATTTTGATGATGGGGTTTACATTACATAACCACTTGTAGCTTCTCATGTAAAAATAGGTGAGCTTGTGGTCCAAGGTAACCTGGTGTCACTTTGCTCCGTGGGATCAATGTTGCTTTGTCAGTGGCGCACAACGGTGAACAGAGGATCCGAGAAATAAACAGCCTTGTAAAAGCATTTAAAAGGTATCTGCTTCCGTCCTTTCATCAGCAGAGATTTCCTATTAGGATTCTACTTTACGCAGCGCCCCGGCGCTCGCTGCTATCCATTACCCGAATCATTCTAGATGGACACAGAAAATTTCAATCTGATTGAACCTGTTTCACCGTCTCTTGTACATTAACCGAAAACTCGCCCTTTTCCGCATCGGCCCCAATGACCCCAGCAGATGTAATTATAGCTGAACCTTGAGCGTTTGCAGCGTTGGGCGCTCCATCTCTTCTTCATCCATTAGCCGGATGGGAAAAAAAAAAAAATCAAATGAAAATGGAAAAGGCATTTGATGTTTTGCGGCGCGCAGAGTATTTCTAGAACAATGTAGATGGCATCGGGAGTCAGTAAATTCACCGAGGTCAGCAATAACAGCCATTACAGAGGATGCAAATTATACTCCAGCATTGATGCAGCTGAGGACTGACCTTGATCTGTAAAAAGTGACAATTTCCAAATTATGTTTTTTGTGTGTCAACTTCAACCCCCCAGCACTGCTCAATTTCTGCTGGACGTTTCAGATGCCCTTTACCTGAGCTTCTCAATTTAAGCTTTAAAAAACTTTTAAACACTGGGAAAAACTTGCAGGATGTAAAAGGAAAAGAAGTTTAAAGTGCGCTGTATTGCTTGACACCTATATGAGCTTGTTAGATCCATGACCCTCAGTCTCCGCCCGAATCACACACCTACTGAGCGACATATCAGACTGGATGTCGCTCCACTTCCTTAAACTGAACCTCTCCAAAACTGAGTTTCTTGTCTTCCCCCCAGCCCGGACCCCCCCCCCATTGACTTCTCCGTCACATCCAACAACGCCACCATCAAACCCGCCCCGCAGGCCAGAGTACTGGGTGTCATTCTGGACTCCAACCTATCCTTCCAGCCCCAAGTCCAATCTTTAACAAACTCATGCAGGCTCCACCTCCGCAAAATCCGCACGTTCCTAACCCCAGAAACCACTAAACAGCTCATCCACTCCCTCATCATATCACGACTCGACTACTGCAACTCCCTCCTCACTGGCCTGCCTCGCCGCTGGCTATCCCCGCTTCAGTCCATCCTGAATACGGCTGCCAGACTCATTCACCTTTCCAACCGCTCCATCTCCGCCACCCCCCTCTGCCAATCCCTCCACTGGCTTCCGATTGCGCAACGGATCAAATTCAAAATCCTAACGCTGACGTACAAAGCCGTCCACCATACTGCCCCGAACTACATCACTGACCTAATATCCAAGTACCACCCAACACGCACACTCCGCTCCTCACAAGACCTCCTTCTCTCTAGTTCCCTGGTCTCTCCTCCTCCCATGCCCGCCTCCAGGACTTCTCCAGGGTGTCACCCATCCTCTGGAACTCCCTGCCCCAACCCATCAGATTATCACCTCCTCTCCTCTCCTTTAGACGCACCCTGAAAACCAATTTCTTCAGGGAAGCCTACCCCACCCCCTGCTAACTTGCCGACTTCCTCCACTCTTCCTAGCACTCCATCCCCCACAGCTATCTCCTCCTGTGCCACCATCCCCTCCCTCCTAGATTGTAAGCTTGAAAGAGCAGGGCCCTCGATCCCCTCATGTTTTGCATTGTATTGTATTGTTATTGTTCTGTCCCCCATTGTAATGTACAGCGCTGAGCGAACTATTGGCACTTTATAAATACTGTATAATAATAATAATGACTATGATTACTGAGTTGCCCTCCTTTGTGGCTATACTATCCTCCACTCTTCTGGAAAGACTTCCCACATGATCTGTGGAACTTTTCTGGCAAATTTGGGACAGTTCCGTATCCTGGCCAATGCTGTGCTCTGGGCCATGTTCCAGGATTACAAGGAGTTGTGTCCATTTGTGAGTCAAGCACTGATGTTGGATGACAAGACCTGGCTCACAGTCTGCATTCTATTTCATCCCAAAGGGTTTTAGTAGGATTGAGGTCAGGACTCTGTGCAGGCCACTTAAGTTCTTTCACAACAAGATCGTAAAATCATGTCTTTATGGAGCTAGCTTTGTGCACAGGGGCACAGTCATGGGGCCTGCCCACCTTGGTGAGCATGTGGATAGCTAAAGTTCAAGAAATTAAAACTATGGATGACTTAATGTCTTCCATGAGCCACAATGAAGACAGGTTGCGCAAAACTACTGGATAGAGTAAACCTGCTCTCCTGAAGACTACCAGGCCCTCTCCTGTTTGTAATCATACTCTGGAAAGAACCTTGACCTCCTTTCTTGTCTACTGTATGGTTGCTGTTGGATGTCTGTGAGGGTCATTCAAGTTCCTCCACAACAAACATGGTCACATGGTATCATGGTCAAACCATGTCTTTATGCAGCTAGCTTTGTGCACATGGGTACAGCCATGTTGGAACAAACTAAGTGGTCATGGCCTCTTTCTCATCATTTTGTAAGGTTCTATCAACTGTTGTGTGTGGAACACCCAACCACTTAGTTTGAGTTTGACCACCATCCACCATCTATAGTACAATTTACAAGACTTCATGCAAATACCACGTTTCCTGTGTTGTTTCCTCCTTTCAGGTTGGCAAAGCACTTTGCCATCATCAAACTGTTACCACAAGGTAGGAGGAGCTTGGCTGTCTAAAATGTCTTTGGGGTACTGTTAATCCTACAGAAAACAAACATAACAGATCACTGGAAACCCTTACATGTCTGTCATTTGGAAGGGTCCACATACTTTGAGCTGTATAGTTGGTGTGATGGCCAGGTGTCCACAGTTGGCCATATAGTGTATATTGGAGTGAGGAATGGTTAATCTTCCCCTTCTTTTTTGCCATTTCTGCCCCTTTAGAGGATATTTCCCTCCACTTTCTGTTCAGTAGACTCAACAGGGAGTGAAGTCTCCAATTTTCAGACAAATGTTGAATGCCCTTTTAGCCCCTGTAACAATGGCCACCAGGACAAGTAGAGAGGGTGAATGTACTTAGCAGGAACACAACAATAACATCACTACATCGCAGGGGCGGACTGACCATTTGGAAACTCGGGCACTGCCCGAGGGCCCGGGGTCAGTAGGGGGCCCCATGAGATGCCCCTGGTACCTTTTTCACAGGCTTTTTTGCATTTGGGCAAGGACACAGGGGCCCCATGATACCCTATTGCCCGGGGGCCCCATGAGTTGTCAGTCCGCCCCTGCTACATCGTGCTTTGCTGGGGTTTTTTTTTGCCTTCCTCTGGATCAACTGTCGGTATAGGATTATAACTTTTTTTTTTCTATGGTTAAACTGGATGAACTTTTGCCTTTTTTTCAGCCAGACTAACTATGTAACTATGTAACTACATTCAGGGCTTTTTTTTTCAGCGGGAACACAGGGAAACACAGTTCCGGCACCTCCAGCACTGAATGTATGTAATGGTAAGAGATGCTGGGATGTGCTGGAGGGTGTATTGATGCTGGCTGGGGATCTATTGTTGCGGGGGGAAGAGTCTATTGGGGGGTCAGTTGTTGATGGTATGGAGTATGGATGTGGGCAGCACAGTGGCTAAATGGTTAGCACTTCCGTCTGGCAGTACTAGGGTCCTTGGTTTGAATCCCAGCCACGGCACCACCTGCCTGGAGTTTGCATGTTCTCCCTGTGCCTGCGTGGGTTTCCTCCCGGTACTCCAGTTTCCTCCCACACTCCAAAAACATGCTGGTAGGTTAATTGGATCCTGTTTAAATTGCCCTAATATGTGTATGAATGTAAGTTAGGGACCTTAGATTGTCTCCCCCTTGAGGGTTAGGGACCTTAGATTGTCCGCCCCTTGAGGGTTAGGGACCTTAGATTGTACACCCCTTGAGGGTTAAGGACCTTAGATTGTATGCCCCTTGAGGGTTAGGGACCTTAGACTGTACACCCCTTGAGGGTTAGGGACCTTAGATTGTATGCCCCTTGAGGGTTAGGGACCTTAGATTGTACGCCCCTTGAGGGTTAGGGACCTTAGATTGTACGCCCCTTGAGGGTTAGGGACCTTAGATTGTATGCCCCTTGAGGGTTAGGGACCTTAGATTGTATGCCCCTTGAGGGTTAGGGACCTTAGATTGTACACCCCTTGAGGGTTAGGGACCTTAGATTGTACGCCCCTTGAGGGTTAGGGACCTTAGATTGTACACCCCTTGAGGGTTAGGGACCTTAGATTGTACACCCCTTGAGGGTTAAGGACTGATGTGAATGTACAATATGTAT